CTGCATCATTTACACAACCAGGAGGAGGGTTTGCTCCTTCCTCAGTGCACTGCAAGCACAAATTCATTAGCATTTGGGAGGCTGAGATAACAGGTATTTGGGTGGGTTAATTGAAATTATTTTCATCTTTAGAAAAGCCCCAAACCAACAGCCTCTCTATTCTTTCCCAATCCATGACTCTCAGCCCTGATTTGCTCCTCACAGTGATCTTAATACTAATTAAATGAGCTTTTGTCTTCCAACACCAGTAAAGATTAAGTGCCACATAAAGCAGCTGCAGCACAGCCCAATCCAAAATCCAATTTACCCTCCCAGCTGGCATCCACACACTGGTGTGCTTGGAAAGAGGCTTCTTGGCAACTCTGAAGTCACCTGAGGACTTCTCCCTGAGCCCCAACACTTGTTCACTACCAGAGCTATTCAGCAATTCTTTCTCCTCTTGGACTCCACTGCTCTGCCCAGCCAAGTGTGGAAAGCAACAAAGAGAAAGTCAGGAAATTGTAAATAACCCATCTAATCTCTCCAGGGAGGTGGTGGAGTCCCCATCCCTGGGAGGGTTCAGAAACAGAGCAGATGTGGGGTTTCACCGTGAGGTTTATTGGCCATGGGGGTACTTGGTCCACAGCTGGATTTGATGACCTTGGAGAGCTTTTCCACCCTTAATGATCCTGGGATTTCAATAACAGTGTGGTCACAGCACTGGTGAAGGACAAGCAGCAAAGATCCAGGATTCAGAACCCGCAGAAAAGTGGGACCACCCCAATTTCTGTGCTCAGGGGAGTGTCCCTCGTCCCCAAGGCTGCTCAACACGCCCTCCCTGCTTCCTGAAGAGACACAGGAGAGCATTCCATTGAATCAGGCCCCTGGAGCCACCAACATGGAATTATAAAGCAGGAGGCTGAAGCACAATCTGCACATCCAGCTGGGAATCCTGCAGAGATCAGCAACCTCCCCACAGCACCTTTCTGACCAGACCTGCAGCAGGAACTGAGCAGGTCAGGCAGAAGAACTGCTGGCACTGGGGTTTGCAACCACCAGGGCTCCAGAACCCATGAAGCCCCCAAAAAAAGCTCATGTTCTGTCAGGTGGGCAATGAATCATTCCAGGAGATGCTGAGAAAGGAGATCCCACCCTGGGGATACCCTGAGACCAGGTCACCAATCTGCAACTTCACAGCATTTCCAAAGGCCTTCTTTGGATTGCCCACAGGACACTGAAAGCATCAGCCTTCTCCCATTTTGGGGGACTCACAGGTTTTCTGGACTCTCAGCAAACTCTGACTGATTTATATCATTCATAACAAAGGTCTGAATAAATCCTGGCTACATCTCCTGCAGCAAAGCACAGCCAGGTACCAACTGAAGCACAAATTCACTCCCACACCCACCCCATCTGAACCAGGAAACCCAAACAGCCCTGCAGGAGCTGAGGCTGATGAAGATCAGGATGTGTGTGATGACCATTTCCAATGTCACTTTCTGTCTGCCTCCTGTGGGAGAACTGATTTACACACGATCCACTCCCCGGTAATCACAGCTTTATCCTCTGGACAGAGAGTCTGGCAAGGAAAGCCTGGCTGGGAAACCAGGCCCAGCTGAGTGCTAAGATTGAGGGATCTTTGAGTATCAGGATTTTAAATGTTAATGGGAAAAAAAATCCAGAAGAGGATGTATTACAGACTCCAGGTATTACACAGCATCCCTCCCAGGCTATTTCTTGTAGGGAAATCATTGGATAAACTTGGAGCCTGGAGCCAGTTTGAGACTGGGCCATATTTTAGATGCAATCAGCTCTCTTTGCCTGGATATATAATTATATCTAGTGAATTATCTAGGAGAGAAAACTGCCTCCAAACACATTCACCCTCTCTCTGTCTCCAGTCCTGCTGCCACATATTTGGTCAGGGCTGCCCCTCCTGGGCTCACAGACAGGCTGGAGCACCTCTGGTGGGCAGGGGAGCTCCTCCCAGGGCTCCAAAGATGTCCAAGCACCGAGAGAGTAAACCCAAAGATAAGGAATAAACTGCTTTGCTTCCCTCCCACTCTTTCATCCTAAAACATCTCTAAAAAACTAATGTACCTCTGTAGACTATAATTTCCAAATTTCCTCTAATCCCATGCATAATTACATGGAGCACTGCACTGGTATCCCTTCCATGCAAACATTGCTATAAAGTGCAGAGTTTTCATTGCATTATACGACAAAAAAATGACTGTGCTCATTTATTCTGGTCCATATGTGGTTACACAACCTAATGCAACGAGACAGAATTTTTCATTAGCTTTTTGTAGTGGACACCACCCATTTATCTTTCTCATAACCCTCCCCCCCCAGTGCATGCTAACAGTGTTATTTTAGTCAGCTGTTTAATTATTTATCATGGCTGGGAGGTTACTGGGTTGCTCAGAGCAGCCCTTTCCTGAGGCAGCTCCTTCCACCCTGACTCCCTGGAGCCCCCAGACCCTGATTCCTGTGGCCTCCAGCAGCAGCATCCACAGATCCACATCCCAGATGCCTCCAGCACAGCCCAAGTGGCCACCACAACATCCAGCCCTGTTGCTGCCACTCAGGTGCCTCCACAACCTCTAATTCCTGGTGGTTCAGCTCACCAGTTGAGACCCTCAGGATTGCATGGGGATGATGGGGCATCACCTGCCCTTAGGCTGTCTCCAGAAAGGTTGCAGGAACCCCAGAGCAGAGTGAGAAACCCCTCACACCCCCCAGCTCCTCCTAAGCACTGACTGTTTGCAGCCAGCTGAAATGCAGAAGCACCCACAGCCCCATGCCCTGTCCACATTTGAGCCCCATCCATGGGTATTTTTAAGGAGAAAACAAGCACCAGAACAACCCATTGTGACATTCTGCCCAACAGAAGCAACTCCCACAGCAAACCCTTCCCTTCCACAGCAGCAGAGAAATCCCTGAGGCAGCACCTGCTCAGAGCTTGTAGTTCCTGCAGGTTCTCAGCTCTGAAGCAAGGAACACAAGATCTGTTGGCAGGTCTGGAGTCACATGTGAGTGTCCAACCCCCCTGTGACCCCATTTCCACTCCTGGCTCAAAGGGAACCTGTAAACTGCTTCATCTCTGGGCAGCCTGGGGCAAAGCCTGGTCCTGAAGATCCCAGCCCCTCCTCTCACTGAGTGCTGACCTCACCTCTTCAGGCTCACCCAAACCCCTCAGCTCCCCACAGCTCTTCTCCTCCTCCTCAGCTGATCTGCTGCCTGTCCTGTCCCTGCCCATCCCCTCTGCCACCAGACACCAAATTCCACCAACCAGCACCATCCCTCCCCAGCTGGCTCTGCCACAGCTCATCCTCAGCACCAGCAAACTGAACCTCAGCCCCCATGCCTGGAGCACAACGAACCAGAAGGTCATGCCAGATATTTAAATGTCATATTGGGGGGTTCCAGTTTCCTCAGTGCACTTTGATGGGTGGTTTTTGAAACCCAGGGTGTTGTCACAGTCACAGGGGACATTCCATCTGCCAAAGCTTTCCCGGTTCTCCCAAACACAGCACTTTAGTCAATAAGAAAGGTTGTTCTTCCCTCCAAGTCTTTATTGGTATTACATCCACTGGCTGAGAAAGGTTCATCCCAACAGAAATGATCCACTTTTATGATCCTCCAGAGGCCCCAGACTGGGCACCACTGGAGCCAAGGAGCTGCCACCACCACACTTCTCACACCCCACCTGCAGAGGCTTCCTCAGCTTCACATCCCGTCAGTCCCAGCCACCCAGCCCCTCCTTTAACAACTCCAGCAGCTTGCACTTGGTCAAAGTAACTGTTTATTTGTCAAAGGCTTGATTCCTGTCCAGAATAAACTGTCACTTCCTCCTCTGATGGCTGAGTTTGCTGTCTGGAACAAGGGAGCCAAAAGGAATAAAAGAGGTCTCAGTGTAAATGGGAATAGACCTGATTTCAGCTTCCAGGGATTATGTCATTGAGCAAAGCACAGATATTTTGGTTCAGGATTCCATCAGGTGGGGATTTGCACGTTTGCAGCTGTTCTTTGCCTCTCCATACAGTCCAAGTTAGGATCCAGGTGGATCTTACCCACCTGGCCAGAAACCACTGCTGATCACAGCAGCACTGCTGGTACAGAACAACCCAGGACACATTTTCCTGAGTTTGCCCTGAGAGGAGCTGCACTGTCCATTCCAGAAAACACAGTGCTGCATTCATGAATCCACGACACAGGAATAATCACCTCATTCCTGAGGATTTGCACAAACTTAACACTGTAATTAAGGCAAAGCCACTTTGTCATAAGCAGTAAAACACCAGACTGTACAAATCTCCACAGTTCCTGCACTTCCCCAGTGCTCTTGCATATTGGTACAAAGAAACACCCTTTTCCAGATCCCTTCAACCCTTCCAAACCTTCCTGGCTGTGTCACAGCCTCTCTGAACTGCCAGGGCTTCTGACACTCTCCCAACCCCAAGGTGGCTTCCTCCCTTCATCTTCCTGCATTTCACAGAATCCCAGAATAGTTTGGGTTGGAAGGGACTTTGGAGACCATCTCATCCCACCCCCTGCCATGGGCAGGGACACCTTCCACCAGCCCAGGTTGCTCCAAGACCCATCCAGTCTGGCCTTGGACACTTCCAGGGCTGGGGCAGCCACAGCTGCTCTGGGCAACCTGTGCCAGGGCCTCCCCATCTGAACAGCCAAGAATTCCTTCCCAATATCCAATGTAAACCCACTCTCTATCAGCGGGAAGCCATTCCCTGTGTCCTGTCCCTCCATCCCTTGTCCCAAGTCCCTCTCCAGCTCTCCTGGAGCCCCTTTAGGCCCTGCAGGGGCTCCCAGCTCTCCCAGCCTGGCTCCAGAGCAGAGGGTCCCCAGCCCTGGGAGCATTTGTTCCTAACTGTTCCCCTTTGCCCTGCCACTTTGAGCTGTTACAAAAACCCCTCTCCACCTTTCCCAGAGGCTCCTCCATGTCCTGGATTATCCCACTGCTGATGGACAGGGAGCCACTGCAGGTGTGCAGGACGTACCTGATGGGCAGGGAGGGGTCCCCAGCGTCCCACCAGTCCTTGGGGGGGCTGATGTACATGCACCACAGCTCCCAGCTGTACCCGTGGGCAGAGTTCTCGTAGCGCTGCACCTCGAAGTTGTCCTGCTTGATGTTGTCGATGGAGGGCAGGATGACCCTCTTCCGGTTCTCCTGGATCCGGGAAAGCACCGGCTCGGCCCTGAGCGGGGAAGAGGAGCAAAGGAAGGGATGGTGAGTTCCTCCCAGTTCCTCCCAGAACCTGCAGGTGGGCACTGCAGCTTCCATACAGTTTCTTCCCAGTATCCCACCTAACCCCGCCCTCTGGCAGTGGGAAGCCATTCCCCCTCATCCTGTTGCTCCTCTAAAGTCCCTCTCCAGCTTTCTTGGAAAGGCTCCCTTTGGGACAGGAAGGTGCTCCTCAGCCTCCTCAGAGCCTTCTCTTCTCCAGGCTGGGTAACTCCAGCTCTCCTGTCCTCCAGTCCTCATGTGGACCACCAGGTCCGTCCGTGGCTTTCTTGTGTTGGATGAAAATATGATCCCCAGGCTGGGAAGCCTGGCTTGAAACCTCCCCTTCTGGGAAGCAAGGCCATGAAGGACATGCTTTGTTCAAACCATGCTTGAACCAGTTCAGACCAAATGGAAACCCCATTTCCCTGGGAAGAACAAGGGAAATGTTGGAAGCAGGACTATCTGAAGGGTCTTTTTTTCCCTTGGGATACAGTTTCATGACTCTGCAGCTACAAAATTCAGCTCTGGGCCACTCAGACATGTTCAGAGCAGGGGGTTGTGCTCAGCCACCATCTGCCCTGGGCTCCTTCTGCCAACACAAGGGGTGACCTGCACTCCTGGTGCCTCCAGGAGTGGGTACAAAACACCAGAGGGAGTCAAGCCCACCCTGCAGAAACACCTCCTTTCTATCCCTAGACAAGAGGCTCCAAGAGCTCAGTAAAGAGGAGCTTCCTCAGTAGATCAATAAAATCAGGTGTGAGGACTCAGTGACCTGGAGAGAGGAATGTTCAGCTGGGAATACAGATATCAGCACAAGAGACAGCTCCTGAGGACACCCTTCAGCTGCACTGTTGTTACAGAGTCAATAACTGTGCAGAACTCTTTGCTTCTTCCACAAACATGGACTATTTACTCTTTACACTTGGTTAAAGTTAAAAAAAAAAAAAATCCCTCTCAGGCTCCTGTCATGATATAGATTCAGACTTAAGCCAGTTGAGCTCAAATGTTTTGAATCTCTCTGAAAAAAAAAATCCTTAAAAAACACCTTTTGCTGCCTCTGCACCTCTGCACTTATTCCCAGTAGCAGAGGAAACAAATCAGTCCAAAGCATCTGAGCCTTCCCCACTGGGATCCAGCTTCAAAGAGCATGGAAATGGGAAACACTTTCTCCTTCAATCCCCTGTGCCTGGGCTTCCTTAAACCAACAGAAATTACTTAAGGCTAAAGGAATGGGAAATCATCTTGAAAAATGGAACCAGGGAGCAGGGAAAGTGCACAAAGGGAGGGGAGAGAGAAGGATTAGGAAACAAGGGCAAGGGAAGGTTTTCACAGAATCACTGAGCTGGGAGGGACCCCCAAGGATCCTGGAATCCAACTCCAAGCCCTGCACAGGCCCAGCCCCAAGAGTCCCCCCTGTGCCCCAGAGGATCATCCAAACCCTCCTGCAGCTCTGGCAGCCTTGGGGCTGTGCCCACTGCCCTGGGGAGCCTGTTCAGTGCCAACCACCCTCTGGGGGAAGAACCTTTTGCTGAAATCCATCCCAAACCCCCTGACACAGCTCCAGCCATTCCCTGGGGGCTGTCACTGTTTTCCTGTATGTTCCCATCATTCCTCATCAGTGGCCATGCAGTACAGAAGGAATTAATAAGCCAAAGGACTGCCTGTCATTCTGTGAGGACACATCCTCACAAAGCAGCACACTGGCCCTTGGGTGACCCATCACACCCCTCCAACCAGGACCCTGGGGTTGAGCACCTACCAGCCAGCAGTGAACTCCACGTGGGCATCAAAAAATCCCGTGATCTGGCCCGTGGCAGCTTTCCAGCCTTCGATCCGGGCTCGGATCAGCCCTTCCCTCTTCTGGTTGCGCACGACCTTCACCAGCCCCGGGTACCTCTTGTTCACGTACTCCTCGAGCGGTGCCTTCAGCTCCTCTGCAGAACAGGGGCCACAGAGAACCCATTGGAAAGGTGCAACAGCTTTCACCTAAAACAAACCCACCCTACAGACCACCTGGACTGAGAACAACCCAAAGAAGAGGTTCAAGGTTGCCAAGAACGCTGCTCTTGGATCAAGGAGCCCATCTGCCACCTTAGAAGCAAAGGGCAGTGAGAGGATGCAGTCCTTTGTCACATTTAGGTATCACCCCACTGAAAGACAGGGATAGAGAGAAGTCACCTGTGGATACCAAACATCAGCACCTTGAACTTCTGGCAGAATGCATCATTGGAATCACTGAATCCCAGGATGTGCTGAGCTGGGAGGGACCCCCAAGGATCCTGGAGTCCAACCCTCAGCCCTGCACAGGCCCAGCCCCAAGAGTCCCCCCCTGTGCCCCAGAGGATCATCCAAACCCTCCTGCAGCTCTGGCAGCCTTGGGGCTGTGCCCACTGCCCTGGGGAGCCTGTTCAGTGCCAACCACCCTCTGGGGGAAGAACCTTTTGCTGAGATCCACCCTGAGCCTGCCCTGACACAGCTCCAGCCATTCCCTGGGGGCTGTCCCTGCTCCCCCCAGAGCAGAGCTCAGTCCTGCCCCTCCTCTGCCCCTGCCCAGGCAGTTGGAACTGCAGGGAGGTCTCCCCTCAGTCTCCTCTGCTCCAGCTGAACACACCAAGTGCCCTCAGTGTCCTCACACGGCTTCAAATCCAGGCCCTTCCCCATCCTCATGGCCTCCTTTGGACACTCTCCAATAGCTCAGTATCTTTCTTAGAAGTGCTGCCAAACCCATCTGAAGTAACTCAGACTGCACCAGAACTACACCTGAGCCTCTCTGCCCTTTCACTCAGCCTCACTATTCCAGTCCTGCCGCTCGCTGTTTGTTTTCCAAGCTTTGCCAGTAGAAAAGCTGAACCCCCCCTGCTTTTCTGAGGGGATGAAAGAGCTTTTGGCTTTGTTCAGAAGATCCTCAGACCACATATCTTCTGTTCTGTTCAGATTCCTTCACTCTGCTGTCCAAGCCTGTGTGAGTAACTGAGATTGAGAACCTTGTGGACCTGCAGCCTGAAGTCACCACCAGCAGGAGAACTCTTGATAAGTCCAAGTACTGAGTATAAAAGACACACAGGGCTTTGAAGGTGGAAGCACATGGAAGGTTACAATGAGGAGTAAGCACAAGAATGTTTTTCCATCCCTTGGGAAAGTGCCAGTGCTCTGCCACAAAACCCTGGTCCTTTCAGTGCCTGTTGCACCAGTTCAGTGCACAAAGGTCTGCAGGTGAGAGGAGCTCTGAGGGCTCAGCAACGCCACTGTGCACCAGTGTTGGCTCTTAGCACCATGAAAGCACTTCCTAAAAGTGTCTTTCATTCCTCTGAGGCTTCAGGTCAGCAGCAAATTAAGATATGATCTGTGATCTCACCTGAGAGGCTGCTGCCCTTCACACATTCTCTCTCCACAACAAAAATACAGGGAAAGAAAGCAACAATCAGAACCATCCACGTGGGAAAATACTTAAGACACACACATGAAGGAAACACAGCAATGGAGAGCAAAAGAGTAAACAGCAAGTTCCATCTGCTTTGAAATCATCAAAGGAAAAGGATTATCTGTTCCCTTCCCTTCCAAGCCTTCCTCCAAGCACAGAAAATGTGCTTTCTTCAGTCCTGCCTTTCTGGGCTGGCTCCCCTCACATCTCCATTTCCCCAAAGTCTCTTTTCTCATTTATGCTGAAGTGGGAATAAAAAAAGAATAAAGCAAATGAGCCCCTTCCTCAAATCAAAGCATCTGCCTCACACACAGCCATAACTCAGCAACTTCCATTTCATGCTGAGCCACTCAGAGAAAAAAACCAGGATTTTATGGAGACAACAACTCTCCTGCATGGTTTTAAGGACACAGAGACAGGAGCTTTTGTGACAGATCAAACCCCACAAGGACAGCACTGGCATCTCAGGTACCTTTGTCAGCAGGGAAGTAATTTTAAATTAAAACAATTAAGACAACTTCCACATTGGAGTTTTCATCTCAACGGAAGGAAAAGAGGACAAATCCTCTTGGGAATTGTTTGAGTACCTCAGAGGAGAGTGTGACTCCAGTGGAACAGGGAAGGGCCATAAGAGGCAACAAAGGGTCCAACCTGAGAGATTCCTACACCCCTGAGAGATGGTGGGAAGATGCTCCCCATTGTCACCCCACACCCTGTTCATCAGCAGAGGGCACAGTGCCCCTCTCCTGCCCACTGCAGGCATCCCTAAGGGTTGCTTCCCAAGGAGAGAAACTCCAGGGAGAGCAAAGCATCGACCAGATGTGGGAAATGCAGTTCCAGGCCCTCTCTCCAGAAGGGTTTCCTATAAAACCTCGCACAAAATTCCAGGTTTTGCTCCCTGCCTTCCCTCCTGTCTGCCTCAGGCACAGCACACACTTTTTGGGGGGGAATTCCCTTTTCTGGGATCTGAAGCCCTAAATCAGGGGATGGCTGTGCCTCTGAGCTGGCCTTGGCCAGTCTCTCCCTCTTCCCAGCTGTTCTGCAGCTCTGTGGGAAGAGGGCACAGGGCACCAACTCAGCACCCTGAGATACATCCCTGGCACTCACTTGGGGTGGGCTTTGTGTTTCATTTTTCTGGAACTTGGGGTGGGCTTTGTGTTCCATCCGTAATTGCACCTCTGGAAAATCCAATATTACATAAAAAAAGTGAAATGCCAGTCTCCAGGAATCCCAGAATCCCAGACTGGTTTGGGTTGGAAGGGGCCCATCTCATTCCACTCCCTGCCATGGGCAGGGACAACTCCCACCAGCCCAGGTTGCTCCAAGCCCTGTCCAACCTGGCCTTGGACAATTAAATTCTCTGCCAAACTCCTGTTCAAGCACCCAGAGAGCCTTGGCCCAGGTCCCCCCTTGTCAGTGAGAAGGACTGACATGACTGTGTCAAAAAGCACCAGTGGAACCCCCAGTGCCTGCACAGCTCCTCTGGTCCTGTGGGTGTTGATCCTGTGGGACCAGAGGTGCTCAGACCCCTCCACATGAACTCCAGCAGGCTGGAAACCATAACTCCTAAATCTGCAGAGCTGCTGCATTAAGGTCAGAAGCAGCAGAGCTTTTCATCTGTCACATCAGCTTAGGAAATGTTTCCTCCCCAGCTGATGAATCTTCCCAGCATGACCTGACTGTAATGGGAAGGTTGGAAGGTCTGGAGCAGAAGGCCAGGAATTCATGACTTGCACTAAGGGGCAGCAGCAGATGCAGCTTTTACATAAACAGGCAACCTGGCCCTTGGATCTGCCCTTTTCAGGAAACATCAGGAAAAATCTGCCCTTTTCCTCATGGAAACAAAGCATCTCCCAGTCAGGGAACCTGCTGCCATTCCCAACCCTGCCTGGCACAGGCTCAGAGCGGGGCTTTCACCCCCTCAGCTCCTGCTGGAAGTGAGAACATCTCTGCAATATCAGGGCAGTTTGGGGCACCACAAGCTAAGGAAGATCTGAAGCCATTGGAGAGTGTCCAAAGGAGGCAATGAGGATGGGGAAGGGCCTGGATTTGAAGCCGTGTGAGGACACTGAGGGCACTTGGTGTGTTCAGCTGGAGCAGAGGAGACTGAGGGGAGACCTCCCTGCAGTTCCAACTGCCTGGGCAGGGGCAGAGGAGGGGCAGGACTGAGCTCTGCTCTGGGGGGACCAGGGACAGCCCCCAGGGAATGGCTGGAGCTGTGTCAGGGCAGGCTCAGGGTGGATCTCAGCAAAAGGTTCTTCCCCCAGAGGGTGGTTGGCACTGAACAGGCTCCCCAGGGCAGTGGGCACAGCCCCAAGGCTGCCAGAGCTGCAGGAGGGTTTGGATGATCCTCTGGGGCACAGGGGGGGACTCTTGGGGCTGGGCCTGTGCAGGGCTGAGGGTTGGACTCCAGGATCCTTGGGGGTCCCTCCTAGCTCAGCATGTTCTGTGGCTCTGTGGGACACTGAGCCAATGACAACATTTCCAGGACAATCAGCCACGTGTTCAAGAACTGGAACTCTGGATGCAAAGTAATGACAAAGTCAGGAGCCAAGGTGGGAGCAGAGCAGTGGCCCCCCAGCTCACCTTCATCCTCCTCCACCACAGGACCCTTCACTCAGGCCATGCTCTCCCAGCTATCCCAGTGGGTGCATCTACAGGGGCTACACAACCAGTAATTCCATCCAAACCAAGCCCTGTCATGGAATCTGAAGACTCCTTCCTCTTCTGCACCCCATGGTCCTCTTCCCACACACACTCAGGCACACCATCCTTCAGAGCACACCCACACCATTCCTGGTTTTTTAGGATGCAATCTGTGAATGTTTGATCTTTGCCATAGCATGAGCTGCTTCCTGGGAAGATCTGCAGAGAGAAACCCCACTGAAAACGCCAGCAGGTTCAATTTCAATCCTGCCTTTTGTTCTCCATCTGTCCATATTGATCTTCCCTGAAGGGCAAGTCCAAGGAACTACAATCCAATAGACCTGTTGCTTTATTAAAAAACCCATCTGCCAGCTGCAATGACTTATGGTATCTATTGCAAACTATTTTATTACCTACACAGCTCGCTGGGAAATGGACCTGCCAGAGAGACTGAGCCACCTGATGCCACTGAAAATAAGCAGTGCCCAAATGCTCAGTGCTCCACTCCCAAATCCTGCCCAAACCTCTCCAAACCCTGTTGAATCCCCCAGGACTAATGGTGGGAACTGCCTGTTGACACACAAAGAAAGGAATAAAGACCAACAGCACCAGAGAAGCTCGAGGAGCTCCCAAAAGCAGCAAATTCCTTACCCAGCAATGCCCAGGTGGTCCTGGGGGCCACACCCCCTCTACACCCCTAAAGAAAACAGAGTGGTGTTTGCCAGGCTCAGCTGGGGGGGAAAAGCCACCTGACAACTGTTCTGAGGCACACTGAGGGCTGCAGGAACTCACTAAAGCAGCTCCTTCAACAGGCAATAAACACAGACAGATGTGTGTGCAGGGGGACTCACAGCCAGGTGAGTCTCTGAAGCTTTTACCTGCAACTGTACAAGAGGAAACTGAGGAAGGGGAGCAGGTGAATGGATCAGTTCTCACAGAGGGTCACAGGCAAAGCTGGTCCCACGTGGGGCATTTCACAGAATCCCAGAATATGCTGAGCTGGGAGGGACCCCCAAGGATCCTGGAGTCCAACCCTCAGCCCTGCCCAGCCCATCCCCAAGAGTCCCCCCCTGTGCCCCAGAGGATCATCCAAACCCTCCTGCAGCTCTGGCAGCCTTGGGGCTGTGCCCACTGCCCTGGGGAGCCTGTTCAGTGCCAACCACCCTCTGGGGGAAGAACCTTTTGCTGAGATCCACCCTGAGCCTGCCCTGACACAGCTCCAGGCCATCCTTTCAGGGCAAGCCTCTGCTTCATTTGGATCAGTGAAACCCAAACAGAACCACAGAATATCCCCAATCAGAAGGGACCCACAGGGACCATCCAGTCCAACTCCTGACCCTGCACAGGACACCCCAAGAAGTTCAGGTTTGCTGCTCTACTCCATGGCCTGGGAACCCCAAAAGCCTCAGACCTGAACACCAGTGGAGAGCACCAGGTGAGCTCCACTTAAACACCCCATCTCCAGCTGGAATAACTCTGGGTTTGCACCAGAGCCTGGGAAAGGCCAAGACGTGACTCAGCTCCCTGCAATTCTTCCTGAACACAAAACACCCGAGCTCCTGGGGGAGTGAGAGCACACCAAGCACTGTTGTTGCTGTTGAAATGAGCTGCAAAACAAGAAAGTGATACATCAAGTCTCAGCTAACACGTTACTCCGGGGTAAATTACAACCCAGAGCGGGTCTCCCCGAGTGTAGCCAGCTCCTTTAGCAGCCTTTTATCCAAAGGGTTGCTTTTATACTTTTCAAAGAGATATTATCCCAGATTAAAAGCACTAAAAAGACAGACGACAAGAACAACAACAACAAGAAGAAAAAGCAGGTGATGATTAAGCAACAGGCTCAGACAAAGTGTGCAGCTGGGAGATAACAGAGCATCTCAGGGGCACGTGGCTGCATCGCTCCAACAGCCCAGGAGCCACCTTATCACTCCCAAACACAACCTGCACACTGCCTTTGTAATCACACCCCTGCAACAAGCACAAATAAAAGCAGCCTCCAAAAAAGTCTTTGTGAAGTGTAATGTGCAGCTCAGGGGAGGAGGGGGTTCAGACTACAACTCCCCAAGCTTTCTCCTTTAAGGAGGGATGGTTTTTTCCCCTGTTACAACACATTGGCATCTTTTATCTATTTCCAGCTCAGACATAAAGCAGCAGAATGCCCGTGTTCATTAACTTTAATCTCTCATTGCACACTTTTATGTCGTGCAGTGCTGTTGGACACATCACACCACAGCAAAGCTGAGAGCAAGCAGTGCCTAATGAGTCCTCAGGAGCAGTTTGTTCCAGCCTGAAAACCACACACCAGCTTTTGCCTCTGGCTGTGGAGATGGGCAGGGTTTACCTGAAGGGCTCAGAGCAAGCAGGTGGTGGCTCTTACCCTACCCATGGGGTTGATTTTAAAGCCTGAAGTTGACTTGGAAATCCCAGGAGTCTTTTAGTATTTGCTGCTTTGTTGTTGAGTTGCCCAGATAGGTTGTGGCTCCTCCTGACAAAGCCTACACAAATCCCCCCAGCCAAGGACCTTCCCGAGCCTTGAGCACCTTCCCCAGAAGTCCAACACAGCTCCTGGGCTTCAGGCCCTGCTCTCTGCAGGTCAGCCTGCCCTCAGGTGCACAGAGGTGACCCCCAAAGGCTTTTCCCACCAGCCATGCCCCCATGGGAAGTGTCCCTCCAACCCCTGCTCCCAAAGAGGCTGAAGCAATTCCTCCTCCTGTTCCATCACAGCCTCCAAAGTCACACCCACACAGCCCCATCCTCTGCTCAACACCAGCCCTTGATCCTCCAGGATTCATCTCTAAATCTTGGGGCTCATGAGGAACTATTTTCCTGTAATTATTTTCCTGTAGAAGCCAAATCTATTTATTACAACGACTTTGTTTGCAATATCCAAAGCATCAGCTATATGATGTTGCTGCTGCTGCTCACAATTATTGCCTCCCATTAGTGGGAACTCTATGACAATGTTATTGCCATTAATAATTCTTTGCTGTCATTGAAGCTCCTTGACAATGCTGAGAGTGAACACAGGAGACCCAGAGCCACTTTCTGGTTTGTATCATCTCTTTTACAGGAGAAAAGCAGATTATTACACGCTTGGGAGGAGCTCTTCATAAACATCTGCCAAGTTACCTCATTATCTTCCTTCAAATCCCTCCTTAAAAATCTCATTTGTCATGATGCCTGCAAAGATTCACCAGCAGAGCACTGACATTATTAACTAACCCCACCAGCTAAAAAACATCACCTCACTCCCCACACCCTCTCTCCTTGTGTTCCATCCCAAAGTTTTTGAGGACAGAACCACCTTGGTGTTGTACAACCTTCAGCACAGCCCTGGCCCATCCTGAGGGACCCTGGAAGCTCCTGATCCTGAGGCAATCTCTTGGTGGGATGCAGCAGGCACACTGCCAGCTGTGCAAGGAGGTTGGGCATCAGTTCCTCATCCTGCCCCTCGCTGTGGGGGCACCCCAACACAACCCTGGAGGTGGTGCCTTGCAAGCTCAGCAGCAGATGCAGATTTGTCATCCTGCAGCCCCAGCCTGTGGGGGAGCTGCTTCCAGGAAGGATTTGTTTGGTTGTCCTGGGCCTTTCAGCAGCATCTCCAGAGCTCTGGCCTCACCATCACCCTGAGTGCTCACACTGAGTGACTGGGAGAGGCTGTTTAGAAACACATTTCTTTGTGCACAGCCACGGGGGGAGGAGCTCAGCAATTACTCCAGTGGGTTCTCTTTTAAGGAGCTTTCTTCTCTTCCCCCATTGACAGGGTAAAATTTGGAGAAGGAGCAGCTCATTTTGCTATTTCAAACCCTCTAAGTACTGGGTAATGTCAGATATTCCAGTGACAGATCACCTGCACTTCCCCTTCACTCTCCAAATAGTTCCAGCTCTGCAATCCCACAGCTTTCACTGGTGGACACCATCCAAGCTTTGCACTGGAGCTGCTGTGATTTCCACCAGCTGAGGAGCTGCCCTCCTGTTTCTTTTACTGGTAATTATAATTCATCAGCTCTCTGTGGTGCTCATTACTGTGGGATTTGAGTGCCTATTTTTCCAGGCTTGAATAGGTTGTTCTGTACCATCTCCTCTCACACAGAGTGTCCCAGAATCCTCTGGAAATGAGCTCTCCACATCCTGCACCCTCCCTGCTCCTCCCTCTGATCACAGCATCATGTTTATTCCTTTTTAATAATATTAAAAGCATGCAGCACGACTGATGAGGGCACTTGAAGAAGGCAGTGAGCAAAAATCTTCTTCCTGAAGATTTTAACTCTCCTGATGTCCTGAAGCCACCATCCAACTGTACGTTGGAAGGAAAAAATGTCTTGGAAGAATGGGAGTCTGAGGGTGCTTCCAGATGAAAACACCTCCTGCAGTTCTGTGGCACCAAAAGCAGAAGGGAAGGAAGGGCAACAGTGGCCAAGAGCAGGTTGAACCAACGTGTGTGAGGTGGGAAACCAAACATCCCCCTCCAGGCTTTGTCAGGGCCTGACTTGGGCAGGTTGGGTGGGTTTTGTTTCCTTCTCTTCCTCTTCACTTCTCCTTCCCACACCACACCCAAAACATAAGGTAGGAGGGTCTCTGCAGGGTCCCACCATTTCCAGACCCTGGGATGTTATTTTACAACAGGGAAACTGAGGTACAGAGAAAACATCTGTTAACACCACTGTGAGGGGCCAAAGCCCAACATCTCATGGCTCCAGGCTGCTGGCCCTCAACTCCATGGGAAATTCAATTTACAGGAGCATCTCTGCACCAACCAAAGTGTTATTATCAGTAACAAGGATCTCCTCAACCCAGAGCTCCTGGATCCTGCTGACCAGAAAGGTCAGAGGGATCTGTGGTTTCCTTTCTAGGTTTCAGCTGTGCTTTCAAACAATGACTACCTCAGATTTTAAGCCCAGGGTGTGATGTGTTCTCCACACCAGTTTTCTCCAGCTTCTCCAGCAGGTAGAACAGGATCACACCACGCTGAACTGGAATGTGCTGAGCTGGAAGGGACTCCCAAGGATCATCCAGTCCAACCCTCAGCCCTGCACAGCCCCAGCCCCAAGAGTCCCCCCCTGTGCCCCAGAGGATCATCCAAACCCTCCTGCAGCTCTGGCAGCCTTGGGGCTGTGCCCACTGCCCTGGGGAGCCTGTTCAGTGCCAACCACCCTCTGGGGGAAGAACGGCTCCCTCCATGAGATTTTAAGAAATTAAACACCCTCCTGGTGTTTTGGGGGTGGGAGGTGCTGCTCACCTTCATCACTGTTGTCATCCACGAGGATGATCTCCTTGAGGAGGTGAGCTGGGGTGTGGTTCACGGCGCTGTGCACGGAGCGCAGGATCACCGAGAGCGCCTCGTTCACGAAGATGAAGATGATGGAGATCTGGGGCAGGTCCTTGCCATATTTCAGCTCTTTGCACCTGGAGCACAGAGGGCAGAGAGAGACACAGAGGGGTTAGCAGAGCTCATGGTGCAGAACTTGGAGTTGGGCACGTTTCGCACGTGGTGAGGGACAGCAGCTTCCATCTCCCAGCTGTGCACAGCCAGGGGTTCCAGCTGCCTGGAAATCCATTCCTTTAATCAATACTATCTGGGAAGACATAGCAACAAAGAGTATCCACCAGGATGAAGGAGCACCCAGGGCAGGGTGCAGATGCAGAGTTCACCCAACTGAGGTTGTGTTCGTGTGTCTGTGCTCACAGGACTGTGGGAACGTGACAAGGAGTGGCCTCCATAAGACAGAAAAAGGCTTTAGCAGTTGGAGTGGAACTCCACATTCCAGCTCTGTCCCAAGATTAATTGATGCTCAGAAACGAGCCTTGTTCTTAAATGGCACTTATGAATTTTCTCCCCATTTGCTTTGGGAAGAAATGAATATAAAATGACCCTTGGTTAAATAGTCTTAATAAATGTTTCAGCTCTCTGAGCAGATACTTCTGAAGCACATCACCACGAACTGGTGTCTTTGTACTTCACAGGCAGGATGGTTAAAACCAAACACTTGTGATCACCTCCCTGGGTTTCAGGAGGAGTTGCTTGACTTGGGCAGGTTTGGTGGCCAGGCCTCTGCTCAGACACATTTCTGTGCATGAGAGGAACCTGCTCTGCCACGTTTCTGTGCATCCTTCTCCTGGTCACTCACCATCCAGCTCCATCCCCCACAAGCAGCAGCTCCACGTTTCATGGACACACCAGACCTTGAGCCAGGGACACCCCTGGAGCAGAACTTGGGCAGCTCCAGGTACCCCCAGCTCTCCAGGGAGCACACACCACTCCAACAAGGTGATGTTTCAATGCCACACCTCATCCTAATCAGAGACCTCACCCCTCAGTTTGCACAAAGCAAACACGAGATCTTTGACGACTTCCAACAATTTAATTAAACTCTCCAGCTTTCCCTGCAATGAATAAGTGTGAGGGAAGAAGAGAAGGAGCCTCCCTGCTCCCTCCCTGCATCCATGACAGATTAGACATGCAACATGAGCAGAGTTCCCAGAATTACAAGTAAATCCTACTCAGATAAGCAAAGAAAGACCAAATGCACCAGTGACATCCCATTCAAGCTCCTCGACTCCCCAGCAATACCTCTGGATTTAATTGTGCTGGGTGTTTCTTAGGCAACAGCAGGAATTCTTGAGGCTCCAAAATGAGACTTGGGAGACAAAGATTTGCACAGAAACACAGTTCTTTATGAGTCTTCTTTAGTTAAACAAGTTTGCTGGTTGGAAAGAAGGTTGTATTTCTTGATTTAACTGTTGCCTGTCTCAAGGCAAGCCAAGAGCTCCACAGAATGGAATGTGCCACACACACTGAAAGGAGCTGCCAAAGGGAAGATCTTTAAAATGAATCGATGGCCCTGAGGGGGCAAAGTAACAACTGACCCTGAAATCCTGCCATGGAAGTCAAACCCAGCTGACTCTGAGATTAAAACCCTCCTTTTGGTGTATGTTGGTGCCTGCAGTGCTGAGGAGAAGGTTGTCACAGGAGCAGGAGTGTTTCCTTTTAATCATTGCTCACCTCTGGGCAGCCCTTCCCCCGAGGCAGCTCCGGGGGATAAAGAGCTCAGCTTGTGATCAAAGAGGTTTGGAGGAAAATCCAAACCGAGCTCTTTGAGCTTCATCTGCTGCTCATTCCCCTTCCCCCTGCACCGCTGTTATCAGGGTTCTCCTTCCCCCTTTGCTGAGGACAGAGATCCAGGGAGAGGAGATGAGCCTGGGAAGGAGTGGGCGAGGCAAACATCTCATTGCTGGGGGCACAAAGCTGCAATTCTCCCCAGGCAGGAGGGGTGGCTTTGCCTGTGACCACAGGAGTGGGGAAGACAGCAATTAACAGCCAAATTAACGTCAGCTTTGTCAGTCTTCTGGTGCCAGAAGCAGCAGGTGGACAATGCTCTGCAGCCTCAGGCTCCACAGCTCCTGCTGTGGACAAGCCCCAAATATTCTGCCCTGAGGGACAGCTCAGAAAATCCCGGCAGGAGCAGGGACAAGAAATGCACAGCTTATCAGACCTCACCTCTGCCCACATTTATTCCCCTCAGGTGAGAGAATCTTTGGCTCTGTGCCTTCAAAATTCAGATCCCAGGCCAGAACACTTCCAAATTCAGGATTCAAGTCTCTCCAACTATCCAAGTGCTCAGCCTGGAGAAGAGAAGGCTCTGGAGAGACCTCAGAGCCCCTTCCAGTGTCTAAAGGGGCTCCAAGAGAGCTGGAGAGGGACTTTTTGCAAGGGACAGGACAAGAGGGAATGGTTTTAAGCTGAAAGAGGGTCATATTAGGAAGAAATTGTTCCCTGGGAGGGTGGGGAGGCCCTGGCACAGGTTGGGCAGAGAAGCTGTGGCTGCCCCAGCCCTGGAAGTGTCCAAGGCCAGGTTGGAGCAACCTGGGACTAGTGGAAGGTGTCCCTGCCCATGGCAGGGGGTGGAACAAGATGACCTTTAAGGTCTCTTCCAACCCCAACCATTGGGGGACTCTGTGACTCAGTTTTTATTTCTAACACTCAGCTCTCACTGTATCTGCTCTGCCCAACCTGAGTCCAGAGAGTGGAACGTTCGAGGGAACACTTCAGACATTTGAATACTTTTAAATTTAAATTAAATGTAACCCATAGGGTTAAAGTGCAGCACCTCATTTTGTATTTAATTTAGCCCACACTCATCATCCCACCAGGACCAAAAGGCTGTCTGGGAAGTTTTTCCTCCACATACATCAGGAGCTCCCCAGCCAAGGGCACATCTGCAGGTGGACCCAAGGCAGAAGTCCTACCACACTTTTTTCCCACCACATCCTGCTGTCTCCAGTTAAACACAGGCTGGCACCTGCTTGCAGGGCTCATATCAAAATACCGTGAATCAATAGCAAAAAGAAAGACACACCTTAGAGGTTTGTCTCTCCTGTAGATCAATGGGATATCAGAGTGAGAGGCATTTTATGTCCCATTAAATCATGCTCAAATACATCCCATTAAATCACACTCACAAAACTCTCCAAGTTTTAAGAGGCTTGGGAAAACCTCCCAGTGCACTGGGTTTAATTTAAGGACCTTGCTGAGCTCTCACTGAGAGTGTTCTTGGCCTTAAACAGGGGGAAACTTAAACTCTGGCCTTGGTCTAAGGCTCAGGCCTGGAGCTGTGTCAGGGCAGGCTCAGGGTGGATCTCAGCAAAAGGTTCTTCCCCCAGAGGGTGGTTGGCACTGAACAGGCTCCCCAGGGCAGTGGGCACAGCCCCAAGGCTGCCAGAGCTGCAGGAGGGTTTGGATGATCCTCTGGGGCACAGGGGGGGACTGTTGGGGTGTCCTGGGCAGGGCCAGGGGTTGGACTGGATGGTCCTTGTGCATCCCTGTCAGCTCAGGATATTCCAGGACATCTTTTTTCATTTCAGGAGCAGACACCAGGCCCAGCAGAAACCTCTGCCCTGAACATCCATGGACAACTCCCAGTTCCTCCCCAGCCACCCCACGGGGATCCAGACAGGTGCTGAGGCCACAGAACTCCTGGTCCGTGTCCTCCACCACCTTTTTTGGGTCCAAGACCTTTATCCTCTGTAAAGCCCAGGTTTGCAATCATGAGAACATGCAAAGAAACCCATGAAATAAATACATTTATGGAGAACGTTTTTTCCTCTGCATCTCTGCAGTCCCTGGTTTATGTAAGAAGCCATTCAGAACCAAATGAAGGATGAGAAGGGGAGATGGGGGAGGGAGAGCAGGGCTGAGTTTATGCTGAACAGCTTGGCACACATCAGGCTGGATTAATCAAAGCAGCCAATTTCAAAACACAAAAACCCCATAAAAATCAAGCTTTGCTCCAACGCAGGAGCCTGCCCTGGAATCCTCTGCCTGTTTGTTTTATGCTCAGCACACAGCTGTAAATCCACTCTTCAGAGCAGCAAGTGAGATTAGGATGTTTATTGTCTGTCTCAGTAACAGGAAAGGGATATCCCAGCATTTACTGCTCCGTGAGCCCTCGGCAGAAAAATCACCTGGAATGACAGCGAGCACTCCCAGAGCACTGAGAGGCCACAGAGGGGCAAGAAATGTTTGGAAACCACTTCTTCCTGCCCAGTGATTGAACATGATCCACTCCCTTACTCAGTTAATTCCTTTCACCTCCTCTCTGGGGTGCAAAGCCATTTCCATCAACCACCTGGAATGGCACTGCCCAGCACCAGGGAACTGGGAGCCCAACTCTGATGGATTCTGCACATTCCCCACCCCAACATAAACCATTTATCTGCAGGAATCAGAGCAGCTCAGGAACCAGCTGCAATGTGGACTGTTCCAGGACAAAACTGGCACCTCCTGTCTGATCCTTCAGCTTCAGGGCAAGCCATGTTTGCACAGAGTGCCAGTGGATTCCTGTGCTCTGGTGTGAGCTGTGTGTGCTGCCTCCCCTCCAGCCATGGCAGCCCCTTCCAGAAAAAAACACTGCATTAAAGAGACAACAACACATCAAATTCTTTCAGGGCAGGGCCAGGTTGGATCTCAGCAAAAGGCTCTTCCCCCAGAGGGTGGTTGGCACTGAACAGGCTCCCCAGGGCAGTGGGCACAGCCCCAAGGCTGCCAGAGCTGCAGGAGGGTTTGGACAATGCTCTCAGGGTCAGGGTGGGATTTTGGGGTGTCTGTGCAAGGCCAGGAGTTGGACTCCATGATCCTTGGGGGTCCTTTCCAGCTCTGGAGGTCCTGGGATTCCACGATGATGAACAGCCCTGTGGGATCAGAGAGGAGCTGGGCAGTCACACCACAGAGCACAGAGCAGAAATGCTGCTCATCCTCAGGGATCAGCAATCCCCAACCCCAGGTGCTGCATCAATGATTATATTCATCCCTGGCTCAAGAAATTATCTTCTGCCTTCCATGGCATTCCTCCCTGATCCACCCCCTCCTGCAGCACTCACATCTCTTCTGCACAGAGCCCCAGATCTGC